GCGGACACTCTCTGGATTGCCGAAAGGGTTGGGGTGTACGGATTGGTGGGGCGCGCTTGCTGCGCATGGAGGAAATGAAAACTTTTGAGCCCCATGGGATCTCTATAAAACTACAACTTCCGGGGGTTCTCAGACGTTCCTGAACCCTACATACTCACCAGTTGTCTACTCCAAAGAGACTGTCCATCATAATACTGTTGAGAACACGGCTGACAACACTTTAAGTAGACATCTAACACCCTTTACTCTAAACCCTAGCATCTACCCAAGCCGAACCTCTCAACATTCCTTCCCCCCCAACCCAAAGACTAGAGCTTTAACTTTTTCTGCCCTACAACTGGAAATGTAATCATCCTGGGTTACAGGAAGATCCCCCAAGTTGTGATAAGGCTGTGATCTGATTCTGTAAGCACCCCGAAGTCCGCAAACAGTGTCTATCTACTTAAACACCCTAAGGGTCCAAGGACCCAAATAATATGGTTGTAGCACCCAAATACCATTGATATTATAATATTTGTATAGTATTTGGTCCCTAAAACGCCTATTATTTGGGCCTCGGGACCCTCAGGGACATGTTCGAAGCGATCCTAAGGGCTAAGCCAAGCCTTAGCCCTAAGAACCGCCCAAGCTTTGAAAAACTCTGGAGCTCAAGCCTGGACACCAGGAACCTATATATGCAACCCTTGAGTCCATAAAGCCTGAAACCTCAACACCCTGAACACTATAGACCCTAAAGCCCCTACCTCAACCCTCAAAAATCTTTCTGGCCACTTGCTACAGGTTTTAGGCCATGATCTTACCTACTTTTGCTACCTGCTTTTGCGGCCCTAAACCCTTATAACTTATAACCCTAAATTCTAAATCCCGAAGCCCTGAACCCCATAAACCCCCAAATCCCTGAACCCTAGAAACCCTACCCCAAACCCCTATGGGCAATTTGTCAGCCTGCCTGGAAGCCAGCACGTCGTAGCTGTCTCTGCCTCTTGGCGCCCTGGCTCATGGCCTGGTACTAAGGATTTAGGGATTTAGGGCGATTTAGGGGTTTAGGGTTAAGGGGGTATAGGGTGTAGGGACTTTGAGCTTAGGGCTTAGGGATTTAGGGTGTTGGGACTTAGGGATTAGGGGTTTAGGGATTCAGGGGTTTAGGGGTTGGGGGATTAGGGATTTACGGGTTTAGGGATTCAGGGGCTTAGGGGTTGGGGGATTAGGGATTTGGGGTTTAGGGGGTTAGGTTCGGGGTTTAAAGGGCCTAGGTTAAAGCTGTTTAGGGCTTAAGAATGTGTAGGCTTAGGCAGGCACCTCATGTTCGCGTGCAAATTGCACAGCTAGAGTGGCCAGCACAGACCATATTAAACTGCGTGAAGGATTCGCTAATGATACGATGCAGTTGTGTTGGAATGGACAATGCAAAACATGTACAATGGTGATGTATACTTCATTGGCAAGTGAAACGCGATGTTGCTCATGCGTCGTGAGTCCAGGAAGACCCAAAGGGTGCAAAGCTGAGCAGCGGCCGCGGCTGAGGCGCACCCGCATCACGCAGTTTCTTTGAACTTGGGCGGTCTCTAGCTCGAGAGCCTGTGCCACAAGGCATGCCAACATGCAGCCATGCAGGGCGGACAAGGTCCACTCATTGAATTGCTCAGGCGCGACCGTGCGGGGAACCAAGATCAACATTCAAAGGGGCAACAAAGTTGTAGGGTTTGGAGAGACTTCTGCTTTTTGGGGGTTTCGGATTTGGGGTTTAATTAGGGTTTAGGGTTGAGAGTTTTGGGTGTTGTCAGGGGTTTCAGGATCTAGGGTTGAGGATGCCATTGGGTTCTATACAGGGGAAGGGCTGTAAGGCCCTAAACCCTAAAACCCCTAAACCCAAAAAACCGTAAAGCCTAAAAACCCTAAACTTAACTTTAAGACCTGAGGTTTGCAACATAGGATCTGTGGGATTTCTTCCAAATTTGGAGTTTTCGAGATTTCGAAGTTGAGGCTTCGAGTTGATCCTGGCATGCAAGGCTCTAGGTCAGGAGTTTGCTTTAGGGTCCCCTAAGCCCTAAACTCTAACACCTGATATTAACCCTAAGCCCTATGCCCTTTAGGGCTATGGACCTTCCAATGTACTTCCCTTAGGGGTCTGACGTGGTGCCCGTAAACACTCGCACCTCAGCCCCAAGCTGCGAACCCTAATCCCCAAGGCCCAGAGCCTTAGCCCAAAATCCTAACTCCCAAAGCCTACCTGGACCCTGGAAGTCCTACTTTTTGGGATATACCCTACAGAAGTATTATATAAGACAGAACCCCAAAAGGGGAAGACATCCAGGGTCCAGATACGCCTTTCAGAGATGATGGAAGGTGAGAAAAAGTCGTGTAGACGCCGTGTTTCCGTCTGAAGTTTCATGTGTTGTTCCATGAAAACTTGGCTGCGCCATCGAAATCTAGTTCCCCATGACTACCTATATACTATTGTGTGAGGTGGAGGTTGTCGGGTTTTAGGGATTTGGGGGTAGGTGAAGTTTGGCTTGAGGTCTCCACACCAGACATGTATTTCGAACATCAAACCCCAGCCCTGGTGAGCTTCTACAGCCCCCTGGTTCAAGTCATCCCGCCCAAACCTTAAACCCTAACCCCCGAACCCTAAATCCTAAACCCCAAACCCTACGCCTTACACATTACTGTGGCTTGGCCTCGCACGAGGCAAACATGCTATCAGTGGGATCCTGAATGTTCTTGTCATTCCTAGGACTATGAGAATTCCCTATCCTTACATGGAACCCAAAGCGGATCTACAAATGCTGCTAGCCCCTGTGAGAGTGGGCTGCGAATTATGGGGCACCACCCCCAAACCCAAAACCCTAAACTCAAAACCCAAAACCCTAAACCCAAACCCCTCAACCCAAAATCCTAAACAGCAAACATCTGTTTGGGGGAAGGTAGTTAATCAGCAGCTTCTTTACCAAGCCCAAGCTCGAGGCCCTAGAAGTGACTCTGAAGTCCTACGCCTGAATCCTATTAAACCCTATAGATCCTACACACCCTTGAAACCTTGTAAAGCCTGAGAGTCCAAGTACCCTATCCCCCCATACTTACCCCAAGACCTGTACCATAATTACGATTACCCAAATCCCAAGTACTCAATTATTGTGTATTGGGACCCTCTGGGGGAAGCCTATCCCTTTTGATCCTACACACCCTTGAAACCCTGCAACCTAAACCCTAAACCCTAAACCCAAAGCCTAAACCCTAAACCCAAAGCCTAAACTCTAAACCCTAAACCCTAAACCCAAAGCGTATGAACCCTAAACCGCAGCCTCAGCTGTTCGCCAGCTCGTCAGCTGGCCAGCAGCCATGGTTCCGGGCAAGGACTAGCAATGTAGTCCCCAGCCCTTAAAAGGGTTTATACCATTATATAGGGGTTATATAGGGATATTATAGGACTATATTATAGGTTTAGGGTTTAGGGTTTGACCCTTATATGAAATACCACAGATGAAATTATACAGGGGTATATAGGGTTACAACCCCCAGCCCCTGTAGTGTTTGATATTCCCGTTGGTATCCTACTAAATATCAGGTTCGTGGCTCAACGCTTAGCATGGGTCACTTGTATCAGTCTACATGGATCTCCAGAATACCCAGAAGAATCAGAAGAATAATAGTCTGTGTATATATATATATATGTATACACACCCGTTATTTAGGAGTAAAAGGGTGCGATTTTGAGTGTTTGAGGGGTCTAGGTACATGGGCATGGTCTTCCACTTGTGTTAGGCCCAAATGGCTTCAGCGCATACGTCCTGCGTGGCTGGATCTTGCTGCCTCATAGGGCTGGACCCGTGCTAAGAGCCCGAAAGCCGAAACCCTTGGCCCTACACCGCAGTTTAACCTGGAACTTACTGAAGCGATGAACCCTATCTATAAGAGTCCAAGTACCTAATCATCATATACTTACCCCAAGACCTGTACTATAATTACTATTACCCAAATCCCAAGTACCTCATTATGAGGAAAACCGACGCCCAAAAACCTGAAAGTGAGGCGGCCTCCAAGGGCTGTAGCGCAATGAAACCCCTAAATAGTAGTGCCCATTTTCGCTTCCATTATCTCAATATTACCCCTGCACTATAGTAGTTTCCATTTCCTTTTCCATTATTCCTATACAACCCCAATATACTGCATGAGTCGAGCAAAAGCCTGCGCTGAAGCTCCACGCGTAAGAGCAGATGCTCGATCGGGGTCGCCCTTGTGCACCCTGAAGCAATGAAGCCCTCGCCAAAAATATCCCAAAGCAGAGTCCACAGAAAGGTTTAGGGTTTAGGCGCATGGAAACATTTCTTCAGACCCGATGTAGGTATGGCTTGAATTTACGAGCCCAAACCGCCTCATGCGCAAGATCAGCATAAGAATGTACTGGATGTTGGGGAGGATTGGGGTTTGATGATTCGTGGGAAGAGATTCAAGCCCACAACCCTGGGTTTAGGGCTCAGGCTTTAGAGTTTAGGGTTAAGGCTTTAGGGGTTTGGGCCTTAGGGTTTAGGCTTTAGGGGTTCAGGCTTCAGGGTTTAGGCTTTTGGGTTTAGGGTTTGGGCTTTAAGGTTCAGGGTTTAGGATTTGAGGTTTAGGCTTTCAGGTTTAGGGTTTAGGCTTCCGGGTTAGGGTACATTATTTCCAGGAATAGACGTCCCGCTTAGAATCCTCATTGTATAAGTAATCAAATCCCAAAAAGGCATCCTAACCATTTTAAACCCTGGTTCCCCAAAGAGGACGCCAACAATAGACAGCAGAACTGTACCCTGACCAACATTCAAAAGGAATCCTACTGCATAGATACACTCACGCACAACTATACTACATCCCAAACCCTAAATCCTAAAACCTCAATCCTGACCCCTAAACCCCAGATTCTAAAACCCTAAACCCTAAAAACATTAAACACCATAAAAAGCCTGTAAAAAAAAACAACTAAGTCCTAAACCCTGAATCTTAAACGTCCACACCCTCTTCTTTTGTCAGTTCTCAGCGCAAGGGCAGGTGATACCCCTATCAGACGAGGCGCTCCCGGCAAACCTTAGGGTTTTGGGTTCAGGTTTTAGGGTTTAGGATTTTAGGGCTTGGATTGAGGGTTCTGGGTTTAGGGTTTAGGGTTTTGGGTTTCGGGCTTAGGGTTCACGAGCTAGAGCTGGAAGCTTGCAAAGCTTCTTACATCACTACATGTGTTTGGTATCACCTCACCCTCTAAAAAATCCTTTTCATTTAGCGTTCTCACGGTTTAGACCTTGGGGTGTAGGGTGTAGGGTTCACTTGGGAGCTTAGATAAAGAGTATATAGATGGTATCAAGGGATATGTAGGGGTATGCAGGGCCCCTCTAGAGGGATTTCTAGAGGTATATAGGTCCCTTTTGAAGGATGAAGGGGGTGTATAGGGGTTACTGGGAATTATCGACTGCATATAAGCGGCTCGTGCCTGCAGCTGACACTTGTGCGACATCTCTCTTTGCAGGGAATATTGGGGCATTAGGCGGGTGTACGGTTCAGAGCGTCTAGGATTGGACGCTTCAGGTTCGCGGGTGGACAGGCATTATTAGGGTTCAGAGATTACAGTGTATGGGGATTCCCCAGAAAAAGGGGACGCTTCGGGACCCCTGGGACAAGTGGTTACTTGATGGAGATTCTGTGGCCCCCTTACGGGTTAAACAAACAAAACAACCCTCTGAAGAAACACCCATATGAAACCCCTGCAAGCTTCGACTTGTCCGCGTTCCGTATGAGTGTTAGACAACTACCGCGACCAGCATTATGTTGATGTCTGTTGGAGGTGCCCTATGTATTATACAAGAAATCTAGGACCACTATATTGGAAATTATCCTTATAAACCCTATAAATCCTAAACCCTGAAACCCAGATAGCCCCTATAACCCCTAAACCCTAAACCCGAATCCCCTTACAGTATTCTTGTGGTCTAGGTTGCGATTTCCGGGGATGGGCGATTACTTCGTCTGTGGCCAGACTCCAGCCGGTGTGGGGCCCTTATACAACCCTAAAATTTAGGGTTTAGGGGTTTAGAGTTTAGGGGTTTAGGGTTTAGGGGTTTAGGGTTTAGGGGTTTAGGGGTTTAGGGTTTAGGGGTTTAGGGGTTTAGGGTTTAGGGTTTGGGGCTCAAGGACCCTAATACTACTCCTATATAATGTAGTAGTTTCCATTTTCTTTTCCGTTTTCCCTACATTAGCCCTAAATAAACCGCTATACTACCCCTATAATCTAAACATTCTGATGTCTCGCAAGGAGTTCTTTGCAAAACAGACAATAGCCAGGTTCCGCAGCCCCCTTGGAAATGGACCAAAAACCTAAGGCTCCAAATAGCCCGATGTAGGTCCTATTTGTAAACGCTGTGGCAGTGAGAAACACCCCACCTACGGCAAACTTAAATGGACTAAGCATTTTTCCCTCAGTGTTTGGCATTCGGTGGTGGTTGCGGAAGGGTTTGTTCCGGAACCCACCCGTTGCAAGCCTGGGTTTTGCCAATAAACCACATGATGTCGACAATATGCCCGGAGAATTCCCATCAGCCGTGGAATACGACCTACAAAGCTTAGGGTCAAGGGGTTGGGGCTGGGTTTCAGAGGCTGCAAGCGTACCTGTGCTTGGTCGGGAATGGCGAAACAGGTCCCGCGACTACCTAGCTACTCAATCCGCACAATAATCCCCGTAGCCCAATCCTTCATTCCCAACCAAGTATGGGCATATAACTCCTAAACTTGAAATTTAAGTTCTTAAGCCATATGCCCTCAAATCACCAACCCCAAATCCTAAGCCCTAACCCTCATCCCTGACTCTTTAACCTTAAACCTTAAACACTAAATCCTAAAATGTTGCGTCTTAGCAGTTGGAACCCTAAACCCTAAACCCTAAACCCTAATCCACCGAGAAGCTCGGCAATGCGAGTCAGGACCATATCTGGTAGATCGGGGCGCTCTCGCTGCATGCCCTCCAAGACCTGGGTTTAGGGTTTAGGCTTTCGGGTTTTGGATTTAGGGATTAGGGTTTAGGGATCAGGCTTTAGGGATTAGGGTTTAGGATTTGGGGTTCGGGGTTTAGAAATGTAAATATCTAGTGTTTAAGGCTTAGGGAGGCGGATATAAGGGGTTAAGTAGGGGGATATACGGTTCAGGGGCCTATGTCAGGAGAAATGCTGGAGAATCAAATGGCACCGGACGTGGAACATGAAATGGACGCGGGGCTTCTACAAGCGTTGCTTAGGGTTTATCAGGGGTTTAGGGTTTACGGTTTAGGGTTTAGGGATTGTAGCCCAAGGGCCTCCAGAACGTGGCAATGTCTATGTGGGGGTTATCAGGAAGATATCGGTAGTCATTTACGCAAATACTAGGGCTTAGCTGAGGTACTGTGATGCCTCCACTAAACCCTGAGTGTACGTACACCAGTTGGTTACTGGGAGATTTACAGCTATGGTTGTTTCCCAAAAAAGGGAACCCCAATACAGACCTCAAAATACTATAGTCCTTATTATGGGGACTCCAAAAAGGGTACCCCTAATTTGGGGAACCCCCCTATGTATTTGAGATCTGCGGGTGAGATGTTGGCACTGAGGGTCCACCTCCTGGACAACGGGATCTGGGGTTTTGGGATTAAGGACTTACGCAAAGGGTTCAAGTACACAATAATTAGGTACTTGGGATTTGGGTAATAGTAATTGTAGTATATTATAGTACAGGGTTTGTTTTGGGTAAGTACTTGATTATTGGGCACTTGGATCCTTAGGGTTGGGGAAGAGTTTTTGGCTTGGGGATAACTACCTGACACTTATGAACTTTAGTACGTCTTATAATGCCTCTACAAAATGTTAATGACATCGTCGCCACTACTGTTGCGAGTAGCGATGCGCTCCGCTTGCACTGACTTGTACTGCGATCCGTGGTTTTGCCATGCATGTCGGAACCCTTGTGCGGAGATGCCGCGGTTTAAGGTTTAGGGCTTCTGGTTTAGTTGAGTATTAGAGTCCAACTATGTACCACGACCCCAAACAGCATCCTGACTACAATGCCAGAAGAAAGGAATCAACACCCAAGCCCTCAACCCTACGTATCCGTATTCCAAGGCTTCCTCCCTGCCTACCCTCCGAGGTCTGGTACGGGCTGTATAGGAATATTCCTCAAACAACCAGAGAAAAGCAACCTGGTAGGGTTGAGGGTTTAGGGTCGGGCAATTGTTTCCCGCTCTGAATGACCCATAGTTTTTCGAAAATCCAATACCAGGAATGTTGGCGCATTACTCTAAATCTAAATGGAAACCACGACTTGCTGCAAGCATTCTGCTGTTCAAGTCCTGACACGGACGTACAGGGGTTGGGAAACAAGGGGATAACCTGATGTCTTCCATGAAGATGAAAGCCTTGGGCCTCAGGTTACCTCAAATGGTCCAAGAAACTGTTTGACCTTGGGTTGGGAATTGGGAGATAAGACCATTCCTGCGATGCCGACGTTGTCAAGGGCGTCTGAGCAACACACTGGACTGGATCCTATTAGAAACTATTTCTACATCAATACGGCTACTACTACGCACTACGATCAACTGCTACTAAACCAAATACCCAGGGTCTTACTGCGGATTAGCAGGCCTCGCAAGCGATACCCAGTCAACGAATTGCTTTGTGAGTTGTCAAGACGCAGGACATGTGAATAAGGTGACGTTTTGAAGCCACATCTGGGCGCACATTGAACCACGTACCACAGCTGGCGAGCCAACGCAAGAGACAGAGCGTGTGGACATGGTAGAACATATCCCACCATGGACAACAAACCTATCAAGTGCTGACTCATCGTCAACGCAAGGGCTCCATTTCGTGTGCATTTTTCAGATCAAGCATCTAGCTGATTCGAAATAAGCATGCTATAGCTCAGGTATCGGCCTGAAGAGGACATGCAAACTGTTCGAAAGTCCTAGCTTGGCGCGCAAAAGCCTGGGCGACTGTCTGGGTCCTTCTGGCGCGCGTGGGCTGACATCTGAAAAATACAAATGCAGGAGCATATCCCATTCGGGCCAAGTTAACATCTATGACCGGGCGCGCGACCTTGCTTGCGCGAGACTTCTCCACAGGTCATGCCACTGTTCTTTGGGTTTGGTACTACGCATTCAAGATGTCCCGCCGTCTATACCCTCAAACAGTAAACGAATGGGGACCTACTGGCCCGTGAACATTATGATTTCAGTCACGCATCCCCATGAATCATGAGCTGGACAGATTGGTGAACCAGCATCTGAGCTGAGGCGGGATATCATGCAACCACCGATCAGGGGGGGGAGCCACCAGCATTTGGTTTCTAAAGACTCCGATTTTTCAAAAGAAATTGTTGTCGGATTCGTTCCCATCGCAATAATCATGGAACATACGCAGTCTATGCCGGCCCCGTTGCCGTCATTGTGGTCGTTGTGAATATAAACGCAGAATGAGCAGTAGGCAAAGCAGAAGAAGACCGCCACTGCCACCGCCAGTGCCTTGTACGACCACCGCCACTACCGCGCCCCCTAGAATTGACAACCATGTTTTGAAAAGAGTGCGTTTTCCACACTGTAGGATTGCACTGCCAAGGGTATCACATTTTCAAAAAGGGTATCGTGGCAAAGGGTCTAAAGTGCCAGGAGTTCATTTTTCAGGTGGTTTGGGTTTGTCCAGGTGCAGAATTCAGGAAGCAGCTGCAAGCGCAGCATGTCAGGCTCCCCTAAACCCTAAACCCTAAAATGGCTTTAAGTAGAGAAGCTTTTCGGCCAAATTCGACATGCAGTAGCAAGCAGTGGGGTTATATTAAGGATAATGGAAGATAAAATGGAAACTACTATACCATATAGGGTTATATAGGAGAGATGTTGGAAGAAACCACCTCAAAGTACAGCATTCCGAAATTTGTGAGATGTGAGTTTGATCTCGCCATGGCGGCGCAGTGCTCCCTCGCACTATGTGCGAGGCTCACTTGGCTACCCACAAATCTTCCAGTAGCTCATGGCAGGGAAGGGCCTGCGTGCTACAGTGAAGCTTTTGCATAAGCAAATATGAGCCTAAACCCTAAGTAGTAGTCTCCATTTTCTTTTCTATTATCCCATTATAACCCCTATATTCTATCTACTGAGGGTTTAGGCTTAAGGGGAGCAAATATAACCCCAACATGATCCCAATCCTGCTGGTAGGGTTCCCGGTTATATAGGGATAATGGAAAAGATAATGGCAACTACTATAATGTGTTATATAGGGTTTGTATAGGAGTTATATCTTCTTATGACCCTGACATTCCAACAGCTTCGGGCAAACCTTATTTGTGCGAGTCCCCTTTCCTGCCGTGAAACCTCGGAAATTTGTGGGGCAACCATCATCTCCCTAAACCCTAAATCCTAAACCCTAAACCGGCCCCTTCTGCCGGACCTTCAATCGCAGACAATCGTAAAACGCATTTCAGGGAAGGTCCACTAACTTCAATGTCTGGTCTACAGCATGCGCAGTATTGTCTTGCGAAATCCGCACGCGGTCATCTAAAGGCTGCATGTTTGAAGCTGCTCAATCTAATCCAGCTGCAGCAAAAGCATCTGCAATACCGGGAAACGTCAGTATCCTTCCCCACCCTCACCTGTTTCCAATACGCAGCAAAACATTGCAAACACAGACAGAAAACAACACAACCGCTGCTCACAGTTGTCTTCCGGATGCTTGCTTGTCAAAATGCAACTTCGTGTATTGGCTTTCAATCGGGGGAATGGGGAACAACTACTGTCCAGTATGCTGCAAGTGCCGATAAAAATGGCACTCCGCAGATCAACAGTGTAGCCTGAAGGAAGCCGAAGACAATCCAAAAATGCACGGTGCGCTGATGTGAAGGTTCTATAGTAACCCTCCTGACAGCCGACCGAAACTTTCAGAACGCTTCCGAACAACTTGCCAGGAACAACGAACCAAGTGTGAAGCAAGTGCCGAGAGTCCATGTAGCTATGTAGTATATACTCAGCGCTCAAAGGGGTTCCCATTCAAGTACTTTAGGACCTGAGGGCCCAAGTATACAGTATATAGCTACATGAACCCTCCAAGGATGGCGGAACCCTTCACTTAACTCAGATATCCCAAACCCTTACACTTTAGGATTTAGGGTTTCTACTTCAGACGTCCTAGCGCAAGTTGTGTCAGGCTTCCTGTGTCAACGAAAACTGGATGCTCACAGGGAACATAGTTTCGAAATGTTTTGAATACTCTACACTTCTAAGGAAGCCATATCTTGTCTAATCTCCATAACCACATCTTCATGTGGTTTCGTTTCAGCTCCTTAAACGGTGTGGATGCCGGTGCTACCCCCCTATACTACCCCCTAGATTCCCCTGAATTAACATTGATGAGGCCAGCCGAATTACCGCCACCCCAATCGAAAAGGAACCTAACCCTAGATCCTAAACCCATGAACCGTAAACCTTTTCCCTAGTTTGGAATACACACCAGAAACAAAGTACAAGCTTTGTAGGTATAGGGTATTGTAATAAGAACCCAGAACCGAACAAATATCAAAGTGTAGTACGCCAATATGGGGTTTTGGGAACCCACGATGAATAGGTGCACGGAAAAGCGCTACCAAGAAGCTCGTTCTGTCCAGCGCGCAGTGCCATCCTTTTGCCAGCATTTCGGGTTTGGGTCTGGGTTTAGGGCATAGGGATCTAAGGGTTAGGGTTTAGGTTAAGGTTTCGGGTTTGGATCTGGGTTTAGGGTATAGGGTTCAGGGTATAGGGGTATACGGTATAAGGGTTAGGGTTTAGGTTCAGGGATTTAGGGTTGAATGTGGCCGACACCAAAGAGGACCTAGCAAGTCAGTCACTTTGTAGGCATCCATGCTGGATCGCTGAAGAACACATCCCAAACTCCAAAAAACACGTAAAACACTGCCTTCTGACTCTTTGCTGTAGCAAGTTTTGGGCCACTATCTTGCCTACTTTGAGGGTCCAGACTTGGGCGAGGGTAGCAGACATCTGGACAAGATGCGCAGCCCAGCCGGGTGGCCTCCTCCAGACGTTTCAGGAGGCGAGACCTCTGGTTTTCATCTGCTGCTTCTTAGTATTGGAATTTAATCCCTACATAACCCCCACATAATGTATTCCCATATCTTAATCCCTACATAGCCCCGTATTATCATGTATTCCCATATTCCCTATTAAGAACCAGTAAGTCATGGTTGTTCAGGGTTTAGGGCTTATGCATTCGGCCTTAGCAGGCATGGTTACAGGGGGTCACGCAGTGACGTAGTGCTTAGAGCTTCTCATGTGGATTGAGGTCCCAGCTTTGGCATTTAATGGGTTCGAAGTTCGAAGTAGTTGCTTCTTTAAGTCAAACCTGTAATTGGTCAACTGTAGGATAAGACTCGCATTCAGAAACGAACCCGCTGAGTCTGGACGAGGACGTCTGAGGCAGACGGCTCGCATGTCAGATTCTGGTGCTGTGAACCCGTAATGCTTCAATGCCGCATCGGAAAATCAACGACGCCGAAAGCTAAATCTGCTCGCTGAAAACCAGGGTTTACGGTTTCTGGGGGCTTAGAGTTGGGCGTTCCGGGTTTAGGGCGACTAATGGCCCCAAACCCCTAGAAACAGGCTACATACTTTTGGGGTCTCAGGTAGTATTGTTTATGGACCTTAGGATTAACCCTAAACCCGAAAGTCTACTAGGTCCTGTGTAGAGACGTAGATCCCCAGGTCAAGCGCTTCTAGGGACTAAAACCGGGAGCACAGGATGCAGCAGAAAAACCCTAAAGCCTCAAACCTAAACCATAAACCCCTTAGGGGTTTAGGAGGTTTATGAGTTTAGGGGCTCAGGGTTTAGGAGGTTTATGGGTTTAGGGTTGAGGGATTTAGGGCTTAGACATAAGCACTAGCCCCAAACCCTTTTCCCCTGTTACAGGGGTTCAAGCTTCCCGCCATGATTTATCATGCGAACTGTACTACCTAGCTAGAAAGTAAACCCCAATTTTGGAGCTTGGAAACGAAAATCACCCCCAAACCCTACATGTTTCCTGAAGGGACCCCTATAATCCCTATTTCCTCACCACATATCTTGCCCAAAACCCCGGACCTTGAACCCCTCAACCCTAAACTCTAGAGTCCCTCCCTGGGTTACCCCTCTTCTGAGACAGTTGGATTCCCCTATAATCCCTATATAATCTCCATATATCCTGATTCAGGGACCCTGATTCTCAGGGTACCCGCCAGTTTGAGAAACTCCCATTTGGTGCCAGGGTGCTGGAGAGAGTGGCTACTTAGCACTGCCCCCCGCGCAAGCAAGGCCTGCACAGCTTTTCTCACGTGGTTGAAGGTTTAGGATTTTAAGGTTTAGGGTTTAGGATTTTAGGGTTTAGGGTTTAGGGCTTAGGATTTTAGGGCTTAAGGTTTAGCATATGGGTTCAAGGTTGAGCCTTTGGGGTATACAGCTCAAGGTTAAGGGTTTAGGGTTTGGGGTTCCGGTAGATCGAAGGATTTTGGGGGATCGTGAGCATCCCCCAAGGGATAGACAAGAAAACAAGTGAGCTCGAGTGCAAACTCCTAGCATGCCCCTTAATTCCCTTATAATGGTCCCCTATATAATCCCCTGCATGACCACCCTTTAAGGAGTTTGGACTGCAGGTCATGTAGGATTGGTTCCAATTTTGTGTGTAGAGCTTAAGGTTTAGGGGTCGGGGGATTAGGATTGAGGTTGAAGAGTTCGAAAGACATTTTGCGGGATCGTTTTAGGGTTTGTGTTTGTGCACTGCGTGAAAGTTTATGCAAGGAAGTTTGGGGTCCAAGTTCTAGTTTAGGCTTTAGGGTTCAAACCCTAAGCCCTAAACCTAAACCCTAAACCCTGAAGGTGCACCTTGGGCCGGGGATGTTACAGAGTCACGTGGCGGTTGCATTAGGGGTCATACAGAAAGTGTACGGTGAATACGGGTTTTGAAGTACGAAGCCCTCAGGGTTTAGGGCCCAATATTCCAACATTCTGTCGGCATTATGCTTGTCACAGCTATGGTCTTTGATATCTGATCCAAAACCCAAGGAGCGCACCCCTAGTCACATCCACCAAGCCCATATAGCCTATAACCTACACCCTGAATACACCCTGAAGCCTAAACACCAAACCCACGCCTTGCACTCTTTCGGGCCGGCGGGAGGTGATAGACGCTCAGATCACACCCCCAAAAAAGAAACACACCCGTGCCTGAGCAACGGTCTTGATAATAAGCATGATATTCATGGCGATATCTATATCCATCTACCCTAAACGCTAAACCCTAAATCCTAAACTTTCTTGCCATCTATCTTCCTCTTGAATGCGAGGCATCATGCCCTAAATCCGCAGCTAGAGATCCCGTCCTCCACTGATTTACCACAACCCTAAACCCTGAACCCTAAACCCCCAACTCTACACCTCAATCCTAAAAAAGCACAAGCCGGCCTTGAGTGCCGGCTTGCAGCGTTGAACCCAGCCACCTCCGTTCCCCACGTCCTTCTGCCTGGACAGATGAGCCATGGTCTAAACTCCTAGTATCCCACTTAATAGCCCCTATGATAATCCCCTATACAACGCGCTATATACTCCCCCCCCTAAAAGGAGTTTAGACTGTAGCCATTCGTTTGTGAAACCTCCAATTGACTTTGCATAAATTTTCCCAATGGGTTCAGGGTTTCGGCTTTAAGGGCTTAGGGCCCCAAATCCCCGACACACCACACCCTATAGGGTTTAGGGTATAGGGTTTAGGGTTCAGGGTTTAGGGTTGACTCCAAACCCTGCTAGACTACCGCGCTCCCCGCCACGTCCATGCTTTTTCTTTTCACACATGGTCTCCCAAAGTCTCCTAAATTGGACATCCCATACACATGCACTTACTCAATTTTCGCAGGTGGCCCTATGTACCCTCACCGAAAACCAAAACAACACCCCTCCCAACCATGTTCTTGAAGGGGCATTAATGTTGAGCGGAGTGTTTTTTGCAGGAGTTCCCCTTGGGGGCCCTTACTCTACAGGCCCCTAAACCCTAAGCCCTACGTCCTAAACCACGACCTATAAATCTAATCCCCGTACACCCTCAACACATAGCCCTGAACCCTAACTTCCCAGTCCAGAAACCCCTAAACCCTAAACCCTCAACCTTAGCCTCTAACCCCTTACCCCCACGAGCCCATGCCTCTGATCCCGCTGGTCCAGGGGAAGCTCCAAGCCACCTAGGCCCGCTGTCTGTAATCCCTTAGGGTTTAGGGTTGAGGGTTAGGGGTTTAGGGTTTAGGGGTTAGGGTTTAGGATTTAGGGTGGACCCCCCACCCAATAGTAGGGACTATAAGGGATAATGGTAGCTATATTAAGGTCCTCTTATATTCCTATCATGCAACAATTACCGGGCGGGGGGACTCCTCCTAAGTAATCCCCCCTGGACGTATAAAACAAATGTTTTAGGGACTGCCATACTATAAGACAAATATAAAAAGACTTCCTGAGAAGACCCTAGACCTATAGTAAATGTATTGTTTTGAGCTATTTTCAATACTTCCGTATGGTCATACTTTTGTAAACATGAAAAATAGGTCCTAAGGAGACTAGCGCTCTTGGGGTCCAGTGAGAGGCGCTAAATGGTTATGCGCTGCAGTCTAGCCAGATTTTGCGGGGGGTTTAGGGGGTAGGCGTCAACCTCCAAACTTGGCCCAAAAGGCTGTGAAGAACCTAAACCCTAAACCCCAAAGCCTAAACCCCAAACCCTAAACCCAAAACCCTAAACCCACTCATCAAGAGACACACTGCTTGTTACCACAGGCTAGGTCTATGATCCCCTTTGAAACCTAGCTCCTCCCTTCTAAATCATTCAGACCGCAAGGGCATCGGATAAAATGGATCCCAATGGTCATAGGGTTCAGGGTTTAGAGGTTGAGGGTTTTTGAAGCTCAGCGCCTTGATTCTACTCTGAAGAAAGAAGTGCTTTGTTGATGAGCTTGTTGGATCCTCTACTGGTTCCACCATCAAGAATATCTTTCTTCCTTGTTGGGCTTTGGAGGCACTGAGGTTGACATCTATTGTTGGGTTTGACCCAGTCTGGGGAGACTGGGAAAATAAAATCTTTGGATACACCCTTCGCCGCTGCCTATGAGCATCCGCTTCTAAGACTCGTGCGGACATCAATGCAAGCATCCAGGAGCAAGACCTGGACAAAATCACAAAGTGGCGTACTCACAGCACCTATGGCATCAATTGCCATCTATCACCAGGCATTGTGGCATTCAGTACAGAAGGGTACACTGCGGCCAGTGTGGCAATGCCCTGATGTGCAACAGTAATTGGGAATGCTTGGGCATGCTTTGAAGGAGATGACATCTGTAAACCTAAAGCCTGCGAGGAACAAATCTTCAGAAGTTGTGCAAGAGGCCGGTTCTTCAATTAGATGTTGCCCAGACAAATGTTAAAAAAGGACACTGCAGCATGTACTCGGCTGCCGTACAAACCAAACCCAAAGGTATACAGTAAGCAGTATTTCCTTTGGACCAGATGGGCTCACGTTTACATTCTCTGGGCCGGAATGAAATCCTTGCAAAGACAAACATGGAACCGCAATCAGAGCCCTGTGCAGACCACTGTCAGTTTTACATTTACACTCTGTGGGTGTCGCGTGGAAGGTACATAGCAGCTCATTGAAGATCGCCGGGCTCCAGTTAGAAAGTATGTCAGTTCAACTTCCTACACAACCTTTGCTGGCTTCCTATCTTCAACCCAACTCGCACGGCGCCTGGAGAATGCAACGTCTAGGGAATCAATGGAAAGCTATAGAACCCCCACAGCCCCTCCAGAGGCGATCCTTGTGATACTGCGAGCCCTGCATGACCTTAACATAGCAGAATAGCATTCTTCTCAAGAGATTTGGTATGATGGGTCATGCAGGATTTTTAGTATCCAACGTCCTATGGGTGTGCGCCTGGAGAGGCATGAGTGCACCGTAAAGCAACGCAGCCTTGCAGACGTGCGCAGGACCTCGACTGGCTAGTTGAGTCGGAGTGATACGTAAATCAACTGGAAAAGCCAATAGGACATGAGATGAAACTGTGGCTATAGGAATGTATGAGCCATCGTCTAAACTCCTAGTGTCCCTCTTAATAACCCCTATAATACTGCCGTATATGATCCCGCTTTATGGGCTTTAGACTATGGCTCATATAGGGTTTTGGGTTCGGGGCTACCTTGTTGCTTATTAGCAGGGAATGAAGGACTGGAACAGAAAATGAAACCTAGGGTTTAAGGATTAAGGTTTAGGGTATTTTCAGTGTAGAGCTCATAGTTGAATGTAAAGGAGAATCATCTATACTGCTCCATTCGGATTACAGAGGGGGCAACTATGCAGATCTTTGCCACAACAAGATTGTGAACCCTAAGCCCCAAATAGTAGTTTCCATCTTAATTTCATTATCCCAATATATCCCTTATATACCCCCTACCCACCCCCCAAACCCTAAAGGAACCTCAGGACCTCTGTAGGGATGGATGGCGGGGCTACCTATCTGAGGACTGCATGTCTTGAAGGAAGCAGTGAACACAGCGAATAATGAGCTCCGATGCAATAGAAGCTGTAGTTTAAACTCTTAGTATCCCCCTGAGTAACCCTATAGTAGTCCCCTATATATTCCCCTATATGACCCCCCTTTAAGGAGTTTAGACTATAGCTCATGTAAGGATTTGCAGCCTTCAATCCCCAGTATCTATGAATCTCAGCAACCTGTAACACTTCCAGCCTTCAGCATCCACAACCCAGAAAAGAACTAAACTCCTCGCACCCCTGACTGCACCAAATACCATTAACGCGCTAGGTCTGAGCCTCTAAATCACACCCCCACACCCCCAACTCCCCAACCCCCGCTGCAAGCACCCTAATCCGCAAGAACACCGTAAGCACCTTTACCTCAACCTAAGCTCCCCTGAACTCCCTAAGCACGCCAAAACGCCAAATCCAAAACAGCCCTGAACCCTACACGCTAAACAACCTTAGCCCGACACAAGCCGAAACAGCAAAACCCTTAACCCTAAACCCTAGAGCTAAACGCATGGATCTGCCCGCTATCCGAGCAAGCAAGCCCGAAACCCCAAGCCCTATAAGCCCTAAACCCCAAACCCCTAAGCCCTAAGCCCTAAACCCCAAACCCTAAACCCTAAAACCTAAGCCCCAACCTCCCATCCCCCCCAAACCCCCACCGCCCACCTGGCTGCAGACCGCGGTTCATAAGCCAGCGCATGGCCTCTGACAAAATCACACAAGCCTCATTTTGGTACCAACAAATTCAAAAACACTGACGTAGCAGAAATGGCGCATATTAGAGTATTGCAGGTATGAATACGACTCTCGCCACGGCTCTAAGAAAAATGCGTCAACCTGCACAACGATGTCGATGATGGTGGTGGCGATGATGATGATGATGATGATGACGATGATAATGGTGGTGGTTAGTTCTGTTCTTGAAGTGTTGTTGGACTGTTTTTTTTTTTGGTGTGTGTGTGTGTTTTCAATGGTCAACATGCTGCTGTCAAGTTGGTGCGGGAGTAGTAGTCATAGGGCAGGAGAGAGTATTTGAAAAAGTGCAAGCCGAGACCCTCCATCTTCCCTCTATTTTACCCTAACTACCCATTATTCAGGACCATATACCCCTATTTGAGGGTACCAGGAGGGTCCTGGAGTTTGGTTTAACAAACCAGTGCCGACTACAAGCCTTTGCGAAGTTACAAAAGCCAAGGATTGCTATCAAGGTTTGGAATAGGGGGCTGCGGGACTACCGTCTTAAACCACGGTGAGGACCCATGTCTATCCTTCAGTATCCATATAATCTATTGCTCATGTTTTCTTCTTCCATAACCCTTTAGAAACGAAGCCCCGACCCGTTAACGCCCCTAACCTGAAACCAAAACACTGAGTCTTCAACCCAAACTCTTCGTCCCAAAGCTCTCAAACCCCTACGCACATCACACGCCCGCGCCTGTGTGACCTCAGCCGGCGACCAGTCGCGCCGGCGAAGGGCAGCCTCGAGCAACGCCTCACACCTGGCGAGAAAGAATTAGCTCAGGTTGCAAGATTTGGTCCAAAACATCGGGGCAGGGTTCTTTTCCGGAGGTCACATATAAGAACAAAAGCAAAGAGCCCAAGGTGTAAGATTTACGGTTTCCAATCCTATAGGGGCCCATTTTTGGAATACATTTTTGTCTGGACACTCCAGTATAGGGTCCAGGGTTTGTGAGTTAAGAGGTACACTGTATTATGATTCTCTGGGTCTATAATGTTCCCCCTGAGCGCGAAACCCGAGACCCCAACCCGTCTAAGTTCAGGTTTATCAATAAAACCCTAAACCCTAAACCCTATAGCGCTCAGGGTAGGGCGTCTAAAGTCGAGGATACATGGGTGTTGGCATGGTTAGGGGTTCAGGTTCAGGGAGCATAGAGTGAGCATAGCCCTTCAGGTACAGGGTTTAGTGATTTTAGCTTGGGAATTAATTGCCCCCACCCTGTAACAGTCTATAATAGGTTAGGGTTTTAGGGTTTTTATAAGGGGTTAAGGTTACAACGTTGAAGGGGTAGGAGGTCTTTATCCTCATGTTTTTGGGCTTATGGTTTTTCAGAATGTCAAGACGTTGATCCCTAAACCCTCTCGTATCCCACGAAACAAGCGGGCACGAATTACATCCCCAAATGCGACTGCCTTTACTCTACAATTCCAAAACAAAACCCAAAGTTCGGAGAAAAAACTCCACCATTCTAGACTGCAATCAGCTGTAAACCCGATAACAGGAAATTCCCCAAAAAGCCGGTTCTTTGGAAAAGTGTATCCTTAAAACGCATCTTTTATCCCTATATGTACCCTGTATAACCATATAGAAGTCTTGCTTTAAAACGGCTGCTAAGCCTTGAGCTGCAAACCTAGGCCTTGAAAAGCTCAAAGCCCTAAACCTTAAACCCTAAACCTGAACCCTAAGTTTAGGGTTTAGGGTTTAGGGTCCCTAAACCCTAACCCCTTTCGGGGATATACTGCAACGTCTAAGGCTCAGGCAGAGCCGTGTCCAAGGCTGCGCGCCTGGCCAGCCCTGGAGCATCGAAGTCCTGGAAGTTGGATTCGGGTTTGGGGTTTAGAGTTTGGGGTTTAGATTGTATTATTATTAATCAGGGTTTGGGAGGGTGTCATTTTGGTTTTGAAGTTTTGAAAATTTAAAATTTTGAGATTAAGGAAATAAGTAATGTTAACTTTACATGGGCTTGAGGGTTCAGGGTTTAGGGTTTACGGTTTTAGGTTTAGAGTTTAGGGTCTATATACAGTTGTTCAGGGTTGCTAAGAGTTTAGGGCTTAGGGTTGTTTAGAGTTTAGGGTTTAAGGCTTAGGGCTGTTCATAATTTAGGGCTTAGGGTTGTTTAGGGCCGTTTGGGGTTGTTTAGGGTTGCTTGAAGCTGTTTGGGGTTTTGGGTTGCTTAGGGTTGTCAAGGGTTTGTGCATGCGGTCTCTCAGACCGTCTCGAAGCATCCACTGGGAGCCAGCGCCAAAAAAAGAACTCGGAATTAAAAAGTAACGGCTACTTACCGATTCTGCTTGTGGAATCGCCTCAGTGTGCAATACCCTGCCGCTTCCTAGGGTACTCGAGCTGAAGTCCAGAGTGGGCAGGGCTTACAAAGGTTTAGCGGCAAAAGAGTTAGGGTTCACGGTTTACAGTACCCCTTAAGTAGATAGACTATGGGGTATATATGGGGATCTTTTTATGCTGTATTATGCCCAGAGCCATATTCTATCATATTCTATCTACTTAAGGGGGACTATCATGTTTAGAGAAAAGGATTTAGGGCAGAGGACTCAGGGAGGGAGGTATAATTGAGGGGCTGGGGATCTAGAGTTCGACCCTTGAAGTACAAGGCCGATAGAACGATTCTGCTTCCCAACGGCCCTTCAATTCTGTAAACCCTAAACCCTAAGCCTGGATCCTAAACACTAAACCTTAAATCCTAAAAGCCTATACCTAAACGCTAAAACCTACACCCAAAACCCAAAACCGTTAGTCGTTCTACCTTGAAAGGGTTCTGGGGGTACCTCAGTCGACGGTGGAGTCTGTACTTCTCGACATTCGGATTCCGCCCCAAAAGCAACTCCCTAAAGCGCAACATGTTTTTCATAACGAGCAACCCCTAGCAGGAAGTTGTATCCGATATTTTCGTGGAGAAGGTCCCGTTATGGGCACCCCATGAACCCACCTATGCTGCTGCCCAGCCACCTCTTCGAGATCCGTGGTGGGAGCCTACGAGATCTTGAGGTTTGAGGGTTTGAGTCCCGGAACCACCTAGACTTTAAGTGCACCCCCCACCCAGAAATAGTCACTACAAGGGATAACTATGACTGTCTTAAGGCCCTCTTATATTCCCATCCTAATACCACTTTGACAGGGTGGGGGGTCCTCCTAACGTATACTCTTCAATCTAATCGCCTTGATTCATGAGTCCTGCTACGACGCCGCAAAACAAGTCTAGCTCCACCCTCAGATCTTGGACGGGTGCTTCATCAACGTGAACATGACTCTTGCTGTTTGCCTCATCTGAGCTATAGTCTAAACTCCTAGTATCCCCCCTTAATAGTCCTCCCCCCAGAAATCCCCTCCCCTTTTGAGGAGTTTAGACCACAGCTCATTTGAAACTGCGGGTGGGTTCATTCGGTCTTGCGGTTAAAGCTTCAAAGGCTTCAAGCGTTGAGGCTTGGCAACTGGGGGAAAGCTGGGTTTAGGGTTTAGCTTCCTTGTTGAATGTAGATTCGCTGTTGAGCCCCGAATGGATTCAGGGATGGCGACGTGATCATTGGCACAATGTGCCCAGTTCTGACACCTGCGCCTTTCGCAAATAGCTGCCATATACTCTCAATAAAGGGTCCAGTATAATTACATTATACTCATATACTCTGGGGCTCTTGTAGAAATCAATCATCGTACGGTTTATACTTTGGGGTTCTCATTCAAGTACCCGTTGCTTCGATTTTCGGGAGTATGGCATGCCAACTGTACAAGTTGGACCCTTAGAATATACTCCCAATAATATACCCCTATAATCCCTATGTAAACCCTATATAACCCTTAGCAGTTTCCATTTTCTTTTCCATTATCCCTATATAATCCCAATAGGGTGTAGCTGCAGGATGGCGGTCCCTATATAATCCCAATAGGGTGTAGCTGCAGGATGGCGGGTTTCAAGGCTTTGGTCTTAGCTTTGCCAGATTTGAGATGCTCCCCAACTGAGACTTCCACCCAATGCTGCGGGCCCTGAACCTGTCAAACCCATGTTATAGCCAACCCCAGGCACTGAAGGTTACAGTGAGGGATTTAGCACCTCCCCTACACAACAACAATGCAATACAATCTAAAACAGCAACACACAAATCATAACAAATAAGGAACACCTTAAAAAGTCACACGTCCGCACATGCGACTGTAGTCGAAATGCAAAAAGAAGCTGAAGAAGGAACCCGCTATATACCCTAAACCCTCAACCCTAATCCCCAAACCCTAAACCCCAAACCCTAAACCCCTAACCTTAAACCCTAAACCCCAAACCCTAAACCCTAAAACTTAAACCCCTACTCCCTATAAAGAATCCCCTTACAACCCAATACTGCCCAGGCGCCTGCTCGAAGGCTTCATTCTGCTGGAAGACTTGCCGGAGCAACTCGGGGCTCATCCGCTCCAACCTTTTAGGGGTGTATGTAAAGGTTTAAGGTTAGGTTTAGATGTTAGGGTTTAGGTTGTTTCCCATTTTTTTTGGGGGGGGAAGGGGGTAGGGTTTAGGGGTTTAGGGGTTTGGGAGGTTTAGGCGTTTAGGGCTCAGGGGTGTAGGGGTTTAGGCTTAGGGGTGAATGTGGCGTATCAAACCAAGGAAGCCCAATCTACTAGCACTGAGTCTTGCTAACTTGAATTGCTTAGGTGTAGGTGTAGGTGTAGGGTTTAGGGTTTAGGGTTTAGGTGGAACCCCACCCTGCATTAGTGACAGTAAGGATAATAAGGATTACATTAGGGTCCTATTATATTCCTATTTTTCCACTGCTACAGGGCAGGGGTCCTCCGAGTGTATTGCTTAGTACCATTGTGCAAGATACCTTCGCGGACTTCTAGCTTCACTTCCGCTGGCATAGCTCCATCCTCAAGCACCATCTTCCTTATTTGGCTATTAAGTCGAGCCGGGTGTTCCTATAAGAGATCCCTGGCATGGAAACCCCAAACCCTAAACCCTAAAGGCCCAGATTTAGCAGGGACTTGGGAGCCGAAACCTTCGCGGCCTCTTGTTGCTTACACACTTCTGCGGGGCCCCAAAAGCCCGCGCTACAAATCTTCTCGGGCCTTTCCTTAAACCAATGTCATGACAAGACAGGACCCCAGATTATAACATACTTGGGGTTTAGGGTTTAGGGTTTAGGGATATGTACACACAAATGTGGGTGTACATATATACATAAGTATATATATATACACACACCCATTATATGTATGTCCATTCATACCTAAACCCTAAACCCTTACGTACATACCTCCCAGGCCTCACTCGCCAGGCATCAGTTGCACGTTGGCGATCCACGACTGGGGCCCCAAATTCAGCGGCCTCACCCACAGACATAGTACCCCTTACGTAGCTAGAATATGGGATACATGGGGACCTGATTATGACATTGCGAAGATTCCACTACTTTGGGCCCAAACTATGTACCATATAACCACATGGACCGTTCGGGGCGGCTAGGTAGGTATTTTACGAAACACACACGCTTTAGCTAAAAGCTGGGTTGCTGTTCAGGACCTCAACTTAAGTCACCATATTGTGGAAGCCGTATTAATTACTCTATATATATACCATTCTGGTAACTTAATTTGAGTTCCTTCCCTAAACCCTAAACCCTAAACCCTAGACAGCAGTCCAGTAAGAGTCACATTGACTGGTTATGACTTTGGGCTTCCCCTACCGAGGCTTCTGGCCCTTTGGTTTTTCAGAGTGTTTACTTGCAGGGTCAGGGAGACTTGGCAAATGAGTAGGTTGATGGTAGTGATATTTAGGGTTACTAAATGGGTTGTAGGGGTTATTAATCTACTAACTAAGTCCCCCTGACCCTCCAAGTAGGGTGTAGGGGTTAGGGTTCAAGTACGGGTAGTCGAAACTGTGGACTCTGTTTTTTAACCTGCTTTGGGTGTGCTGCAAGCTGCAGCTACACTTGAACAACCTCGTTCTTGCGACGACAGTTGGTTTTGTATTACGGGACTCAAGGGGCTCAGGGTAGATAGAATATGGCGATCTTATTGTAATATACCCAAAGCCATATTCTATCTACGTAAGGGGGACTATATACATCGACAGCAGTCCCCTGGTTTGTGAAGACCTACTGATTGGTAAGGGGAGGGGTTACGCATGGTTACGCTGGAAATGACCATCTTGCGCTCCCTCCAAGTACCGAAGACTTGATTGTCTATTAAGTCTGTACAGCCTGACGCTGCCCAAAAACTGCTGCTTATACGGGTTTAGGGTCCAGTGTTTAGGGCTTAAGGTTGTTCAATCCTCACTTGAAGGTTCGAAAGGCCTCAAACCTGAAACCAAAACAAAGAAAGACAGCCTAAACCGTAATCAAGCCCCCAGCGCCGTTTCTAAACCCCAACCCTCCAAGCCCTTATGCCTCAGACATCTGCACTAAACAAGTAACCCGTAAACTTGGATCGTACTTACATAGGGAAGCCCATCCCCGAAAACGTGTAAATCTGGCCCTTTCGAAAGCATTGCCGCAGAACCTCAACTTACATCATTTTGGGACCAGAGTTGCATGTAAACCACCATGTGTGGGAAATCCTAAAAAAACACACACACTAAACCCTAAACCTTGCCCTGGAAAAACTGAACCCTAAGCCCTAAACCCTAAACTCCTAAACCCTAAACCAAAACCCTAAGCCCAAACCCTAAACCCTAAACCCTAAACCCAAACCCTTAAACCCTAAACCCTGAACCCTAAACCCAAACCTTAAGCAAAGGATCCCTAACTTGTTAAGGGGAGCCTTGGCTTGCAACTTCCGGATGGCCTGGTAGCGGTCCTGTAAAGAAGACAAAGTGAGTTAGGGTTTAGGGTTTAGGGTTTTAGGGTTTTAGGTTTGAGGGTTTTAGGGTTTTAGGGTTTGAGGGTTTAGGGTCTCAGGGTTTGGGGTTTTAGGGTTTAACTCTTTTTTTGGTGGTGAAACCTGGTAGGCTCATATTCCTTATATGAGATACTATACCCCAAAGGGAGGATATAATCTTACTCTATATTGGGTACCATAGTATCCCCAAATAAAGTACTACTCAATCGTGGTTTGTTGTGTTGGCTATGGGCTGTAGGGTTTCCGGGTTTTAGGATTTTAGGGTTTGAGGGTGTAGGGCAGGAAGTTTGGGGTGTATGTACCACAGACATATACACATGCAATTTGAATAAGTTTCCATGCATTTGTTGTACATAGACTTGTTAAGGCTTAGGGCTCTTTGGGGATATTGTGAGGGTTCCAAAACTGAGGGTCCGTTTCGTGGATCCCAGGAATGCTAGTAAACGATCCTGCACGCGGCTTAAGGCTTAGGTTTTAGGGTTTAGGTCTGGGGCTCTAGGGCCTGAGAGCCCTACTAGCTTGTATGGGAAACCTCTGTCCAAGTGGAACTGGGTACATGGCATCTTGGTAGGACTTAGAACTCTCCAACAATATACAAAGGCGCGAAAGTTATCCTATACATTTATGTGTGTATATATGCGCTCACCAAAAACCAGCATGAAAACCCTACCTCATATGTTGGGCACAAGTACGGGGATTTGAACACTATTGGAGCCTACGGTGTCTAGGGTGTGGTTACGGCTTAACGTTTGTTGGTGGAAAGCTGGCAAGTTCTGCCATGAATGATGATGCACCTTGTTGAGCAGGTGTGGCATTGGGGAAGTCGTAGGAAAGTAAGCTCTCCCAGGCACGAGAAGCAACCACTGCATGCTGCAAGAGGACCCTGTATGCCTGGATTCTGGCACCCAAGACTGTGAACCCATGAACTGTAGATCCGAAACCCTAAACCCCCTAAACCCAAAGCCCTAAGCTCATGAACTTTAGACCTCAGACCATGACACAATGCCAGTCCTAAGCCCGTAAACCCACTACCCTCGAACCCTCAACCACCAAAGCCCTGAACACTAAAACTTGGGTCACTCCCCCACCCACTGCTTTTATATAAGGGCTCCAGGTCAGGGTTTAGGGTTTATGGTTTAAGCCCCTACTGACTGCATATTTAGGGGCTATTGCTTGAGGGGATCTGAACTAAAACCCTAAACCCCTAAACCCTAAACCCCAAAACCTTAAAACCGCAAGCAGTAAGATGCACCTCGAGGGCAAGGCATACCTGGCCCAGAATTCGGGGTTTCAGGCGTGTGGGGGCTTTGGGTCTAACTAGGGATTTTAGGGGGTTTAGGGTTCCCCCAAAATCCTAACCTTAGGGTTTAGGGTTTAGGGTTAAGGAACAGAGGACATGGGTTTATGGGCATTAAGCCTAGTGCGTACAGTGTCCCCCAACATCCGCTGGAGATTCCGATGATCTTCTGACCATGTCACCCCTAAGCACCCTAAATCCCTAAGCCCTTAAACCTGAACCCTGAACCCTAAACTCTGAGCCCTAAGCCCCAAACCCCCAAAAGCAAAACCCTCCAAACCCTAAAGCTAGGTGTGGGATCCATGGAATTCAACTTACCCTCCTTGCACCACCATTCCTGCAGCTGCCTTGGAAGCATCCCGTGTTGAGTCAGCCCCTAAACCCCCAACCCTAAACCCTAAACCGCAAACCCAATATGTATATGCATGTATATATACGTCTACATATCTATATATATATACACATCTATACATCTCTTTACATATATATATATATGCAGAATGTAGGATTTAGGGTTAAGGGTGTGGATTTAGAGTTTGGGGTTTACAGCCTAGGGTACCTAACCCTAAGGCCTGAACCATATTCCCTACACCCTGGATTAGGATGCAAGATCGCCTGCGAGACTCTGATGCTGTGCAGCTACTTCTGGAAACACCCAGCCAGCACACAGAGATTCAAGCAAAGCGGTTGAACAAGATTTAGGGAACCAGAGGCGCACTTTCTACTGAATATATGGGTAGTTGTCAAAATTATGGTCCCTTTTTGGATCTCTGTTATAATACGGCACCTAATATTCAGGGTACCCAAAAAAGCACCATAGTTTTGACAACCACCCATATTCGGACACATGTCGCGACATCAGCATCCCATTTATACAACCCGGGAGCTGTGGGTCCCTGGGTCTTGCTGCTCATGGCATGTGAGTTCCGGCTGTGCCAGATGAGCTATCTAAACTCCTAGTATCCCCCTTAGTAACCCATGTAGTTGTCCCCTGTATAATCCCCTATATAACAACCCCCCTTTAAGGACTATAGCTCAGATGGCTTTCTATGCAGAAGTGCTTGAGACACTTCTCAGGCACAGTCTCTCTTTTCTCATAGTGCAAGCTGGAACAGATACCTGTCCCAAAGCCGCCAGAAACTTGAGTAACAAAATGAAGCCTCAAATGCCACCGTGCACGAATCCCTACCTCTGAGCCTAAAGCTCCGTCTTGCCGTCGCCCTTAGATGCATCTTGAATGCTTAATCCCGAACCTCATAGTCATAGCCCCTGAAACCCATCCAGTACTATGGCTTCTGGTTGGGTCCTGCCCCCACCCATTAACAGTCTACAATAGGGCCCACAGTGGGGGCTCTATACATTTATATTGGAAATAGTATCCAACTGTCTATGAGTGGGGGCAGCATCCAAGCTTCTGGATCCTAGCCCAGCTCTTTACAATATGTCCAAAGAATCTTAGCGGGGAGCCCATGATGCCTCGCAACCCTCCCCAAAATGCAGAGGGTCCTGGTTTAGGGGTGAGCCCCCCAAGGTTTGAACAACCTCCCAATCGGTTCCTCCTTCTAAATATAACAGCAAAATTCATTGTAACAACAGTAGTAATGCTAGTCATAATTGGATAGGAACAATAATAGACCCCTTCATAACCAGTATCATAATGGCAATAGTAGTCCTAAACACGAAACCCTAAATCCCTAACTCCAAATCAGCGCCTCCTTTGGATACTGGATCAGAGTGGTCTTGGAATAGTAGCCCTAAACCCTAAACCCTACCCCAAATCAGCGCCTCCTTCGGATACTGGATCAGCGTGGTCTTGGAGTGCGTGTAGTTACGGCCTTCTGCCCTCTCCGCCTCGTACTGCCACATCCTCAGAGACTCAGAAGAGTAGTATTTTATTTGGGGATACTATGGTACCCATTATAGAGTAAGATTCAATCCTCCATTTGGGGTATAGCATTTTATATAAGGAAAGAAAATAGTATCTTACTGGGTTCAACCACCAAAAAAA